TAATCCCAGCAGCTCGGGAGGCTGAGACAGGAGGACCTCAAGTTCAAAGCCAGCCTCAGCAAAATCAAGGTGCTAAGCAAGTCAGTGAGACCCTTTCGCTAAATAAAATACAAAATAGGGCTGAGGATGTGACTCAGTGGCCAAGTGCCCCTGAGTGTAATCCCTAGTACATCCCATTCTTATTTCAAGATTTCTGTCAGAAATCTGGCACGTTACTGCTGAGAATACTTAGCTCTCATCTGAGGCTCCAGGTCCCTTTCAGGACCATTTGGGTTGTTGACAGAATTGCAGTTGTAGAGCCGAGGTCCCTATTTTCTCATTAGTTGTTGGCTGGACGGCTCTCCACTCTTAGATGGCACCCCAAATTCCCTGTCTTGTGGCCTTTGCAAGGAGTTCTGGTGAAACATTTGCCTGCTTCCAGGCCAGAAGTCTCTGACTTCACTGAAAGATCCGTCCTCTTAAGAACTCACCAGCTTGTCGAGAACGTGTGGAAACTAGAGAGAGAGAAAAAAAAAATGAACAAAAAAATGGAGGCTGGGGAAACTAATGAAGATAGATGGGAGACCAGTAGAGTAGGAGGACCTGAGAAGTGAGGAGGGAAGAGAAAACGGAAGTACTGGGGATGAAATGGACCAAATTATGTTATGTGCATATAGGAGGCTGGCTGTTTGTTGTGGATCCAATATAAAATTTGCAGTTTAGTAGGAATATGTAACAACCAAGCCCACGATTACATGTCATAATGCACCAATTAAAAAAGAAAACTCACCTGCTTAGGTGCAGCCCAGCTGGATCTTCTTCCTTTGGAAACTAAGACAAATGATTAGGACCCATCACAGAGGTGGCATGCCATCACATCTACAGGTTCTGTTCAGAGGAAGAGCTGATACAGCCTTGTTCACCAGTGGGCAGGAGCCTTGGGGGCCATCTTAGAACTCTGTCTTCCACAGCAACCGTCCCACACTGCTCCCAGGGAGAACTGAGGGCCCTATACAGGCTGACTCTTTCACCTCCCTACACCCTCCACAGATCCTGTCTCTAGGGCATCCAGTTTTCTCCTTATCACTAACTACTCTCTTGAGAGCCTGAATTTTATCAGTCTTCTATCATATGAAAAATACTGAGGCTCTGAAGCATTGGGATTTGTCTCTTGAAAGATTTTCTTACTTGTCTCTTTTTATTAAGTTTGAGTGTGTGTGTGTGTGWGWGTGTGTGTGTGTGTGTGTGTGTGTGTGTGAGCATGTGTGTATAAGTAAGTAAATGTAATACATGCAAAATATTATAAAATCCAAACAGCTTGAAAAAGCATACAATGAGAAATCTCTCCCCCACTCTCACCTTTCACCCCTCTCTCCATCATGCTCTTCTCAGATTAATCAATAGTATCAGTTCCAATTTCTTGGGTCTCTGCAGATAGTTCATGCATTGAACTACATCTTTCTATAAATGGTAGCATTTTTGTTCTGTACTTGTTTTTTTTTTTCTTTAGTAGTGCATCCTGAAGTTCTTTCCACATAAATCTAAATTGTTCGTTTTAATTCCAGCTACTTTAATGCAGGAAAAGGAAAAGAAATCCACACTAAGCCTTCTGGGTTCCCATGCAAACAATTTGGGCTTCTTCCTGTCACTCATTTTGGGATTAATGGAAGAAGAGCTAGGTGAGGTTATCTCAGACAATGCCAAATGTTTTTGTAGACTAGCATAGCAGTCCTGAGTGGAGTTACACATAATCTGAAGGTCTGAGTTGGACAACGGAGTCAGGTGAGGGATTATCTTCATTGCAAAGAGCACCCTGAATACAGAGCAGGTATCCCATGACCCAGTTACCAGCAAGAAACATAGACAAGCAACTCTGTCTTACTTTTTCTATAGGATGTCATTGTATTACCATAAATCAGCTTCCTTTATTTCTAATTATAAATGAAAAAAGTGGGCTTAATTATGGATTTTGAGAAAGTATCTAAAAACTATTCTGAAGATTCTCTCCATGGAAAAATATTTTTGTCGTCTGAAACAGCCAAGTATCAATTAGATCTTCCGTGGAATCCATATCATAGGGATGAGGGTGACGGTGGTGGGGAAAGTTAATTTATGGAATACGACAATTGAATAGAAGAATTGAGGGGAAAAATTACTTTTAGTATCAATACAACCTGGAAATTTCAAAATGTTCAAAGCTGGATAGAAATATGTTAGATCGTGGGCATTTTATATTATTTTCAAATTAAATGATTAGCTACTGATAGTTCAAACAGTAAGTCTCTCATTTTTGTACCAAGAACATTTATATCCATTGTTTTCTTCTGTTTTGATTTGCTGAACAATCCAAGTCCAACTTTGGGGGTATCCATTTCACTAAAGAGTTCCTTTTAAAATCTTCCTGAAAACATTTAGTGTACTTCTTATGACCCTTGGGAGGGTTTGACTGTGTCCAGTGAAGTTAACTAACTTTAAAGCCAGCTGAAGTCTGTCTTTTTTTCTTTTTTTCTTTTTTTTTTTTTTGAGAGAGAGAGAGAGAGAGAGAGAGAGAGAGAGAATTTTTTAATACTTTTTTTTTCAGTTTTCAGTGGACACAACATCTTTATTTTATGTGGTGCTGAGGATCGAACCCAGCGCCCCGCGCATGCCAGGCAAGTGCATTACTGCTTGAGCCACATCCCCAGCCCTCAGCTGAAGTCTTCATGAAAGTCACAAAAAAGTAGTTTAACCTCTAATTTACAAGGTGTGAGCAGCCCATGGATGCAAGAGAACATTTTATTCTTTGAAGCCACTTTAGGACCGAAGGACAAGTTTGTTAAAATGACACGACCACATTGAAACTAAAAGAATCAATTTTCTGTTCCTTTTCAAAAAAGGAAACTACAAATTAGAAGACCTCAAAAGTGCAGTCCAGCAGGCATTTTCTCATCAGCAGATTTGTAATGGCAGCACCTGGTGAGCGCTTTACATTTCTCCAGTCTAATGTGACTGCTGGAGGACTTTCACATTTTAGTCATTTGCTTAGTAAACTTTCATTGCATAAAGTCCCACTGTGTTCCTTTCACAGTGAAGACATTTTCATAATCAAAGAATGATGCTTAGGTTTTTCTGTTAAAAATGATCTTTACACTTTATTTAAATTTGTTTATTTAAATTTTATTAAATCTCTAGCATTTTGTACTTTTTTAGCAATTGTTGCATTTTCTTTATCAGTTACTAATAACACCTACTTATTTGGTTCTTTGCAGTTTATAAAACATTATCACATCCTCTTTGATTTACCTTTCAGGATTATAAAGCAGGGGCTGGGGTTATGGCTCAGCAGTAGAGCGCTTGCCTAGCACGTGTGAGGCCCTGGGTTGATCCTCAGCACCACATAAAAATAAATAACTAAAACAAATGTAATGTGTCTAACTACAACTAAAAAAATATTAAAAAATTWTGAAGCAGAAAGTCCAATTCTGATAACATTGTTTTATTTTATGTGTTTATTGGCATAGTCAAGTTGCACTTCTTATCTACCACCTGCAATAATGTTCTTCAACGGAAAGAAGATACACTGGCTGTCTTTATTCCTAACAAGAAATAATAAATGTTGATGATTAACAAAATTTCAGTCCTTACAGGAATCTGCTTCACTACAGATGCACCCCTCCCTTGATCATAATTACGCTCCTGACTATCCCTATCTCAGTGAGAGAAGTTCAAAACTCCACTCCTCCCACACAGCCTCTCAGTCAGACCGGGAAGCATCAAGCATGCGTTCGTGTCATTTTATGGCCAGTGAAAATGACCCACAATCAAGCAGAGAATCCAGACGAGTGGCTTCCATTTGATGACTATGAGAATCAGTGCAATGTCTCGCAAAACATGAAGTAGGCTATGATGACCTCAGTCATGCTAAATTTGTCCTCCTTCCTATATTCTCAATCCATTCTCTCCTTATACAGAATCTGGCTCCTGTCCCAATATCGACACCTATCCTCTTTAGCTCTTCTCCATGATTAGCTCATTCTGAACCTCTTTGGGGGCAGAAAAGCATTACCTTCTTCACTCTAAATTATGAAGGGCTCCAAGGGGATGCTTCCCATTTCATCATGTATCACTTTTCCCTCATAAGGGGTGTGACTGGAGAGCAAGGGCCTGTTTGCGTGGGTGTAAGACGCAGAGGAGTAGGTTGGAATCCTCTGTGCTTTTTTTTTTTTTTTTTTTTTTTTAGAAAAAATGTTTTCATTATGGTTCTACATTACTAGTGGGGTTCATTTTGACACGATCACACATGCATGGAATATATTTTGCTCCATTTCAACCTCAGGGCTTCCTTTCCCCCTGTCCCTCTCTCCCTCCCCCTATTCCCCTTAACTCTACAGATCGTCCTTCTATTAATTAATTAATCAATTAATTAATTTTTATGGTGGTAGGTTCGAACCCAGGGCTTCGCACATGCTAGGCAAGCACTCTACCACTGAACTCAAATTTAACTGGGGCTTTCTGGGTATCCGTAAAGGTGGAATTCACTGTGATCTATTCATGGATACACAGAGCATAATTTTGTCCATTTCATCCCCCGGGTCCTCACTCAGTGGCGAAGGAGACTGTGATCCTGCATTCCTAGCTTGCTGGTCATCCTTAGTCACCAAAAAGTGAGTTCTATTCCCAGCCTGCTGTGACCCCAGGGCAACCCTCCTTTGTGGGGAGAAGTAGCCCTTAAAGTTGAAGTGATCTAGTTCCCTTCTTTTCAAAAGCGAACTCTCAAGTCACGCGCTCTCCGGAGTGGGCTGCTGGGGAAGGCGTGGTCCCCGCTGGCACCCAGCGCCTCCCACCGGGTCACGCGAACTCAGCGGTAACGGGGGCGGGCTTCTCCAGGGAACGTCATTGGCGGCGGTGACCAGAAGAAGGAAGGGGCTGGCGAGGGGCGGGCGGAGTCTGAAACCTTCCCGCCTCCGCCAGGCTTTATAAGCACTCGCGGGTGGGAGGTTGGGCTGCCCGGGGTCCCTCGCACCCGCAGCCTGGCGTGTCGCTGGGCCTGTCGCGCGCACCCACCCTCTGCGTCCCACATCTGGCCCCGGGGACAGCTACCCCAAGCCTCCCTCCAGCCGCAGCCGCTCGAGAAAGTTCACGGACCCCTGAGTCCCCAGGTACCTGCTGGTCAGCCGTCCAGGGGTGAGGTGGGGACTCTTGTTTACCCCTTAGAGAAGTCAGCTTTGTCTAGGAAGTTTTTTCGGGTGTCGCCTGAAGTCATCACCAGACGCGCCTGCTGGCTGGGTTTGAAGGCGGACACCTACGACACGCTAAGGAAAAATGCTAGCCTGAGCCACCAGCCTTGTAAAACATGGACACTTGTAAAATGGGAAGTTTCTGGAAAGTTTTGGAGATGTGGGTGTGCCTTCTTTGTACTTTGCTATATTTTGGGTTTTTTTTTTTTCCTAACCAGAAAGCAAAAAAAAAAAAAAAAAAAAAAAGTGTCACGTAGGAGGGTGGCAGGCGCACGGAGCATCCTGGCCTGAGTCCCTGGCCCTTGCCCCGGCCCCACGCTCTCGTTGGGGGGCGGGACCTTTCGCCGGCACCCGAGGCTCCCCGCAGCGCCGAGTTCCTCTGCCTGCCAATTCAGATCGGTTCGTTAGGAAAGTATATCCGTTGCTTTCTGGGACTTTCCCCAGCTTCCAGAGCAGAAATCGGAATTTCCCCAATCCCCTGGAAGCCTGAATTCACACTGTTCACAGCGGATGTCCGCAGCCTTGGACAAGTGTGCCTGCGCACGTTCCCAGGGGCCAGGCCAGTCCAGCGGCCTGGGAGGAAGAAGGCACAGTCCCTGAGAACGCTGAGCTCTCTAAGGTTCTGCTCCTTCTGAGTCTGGTTTTCRGCACTCTTTTTGGAAGATCTGTGAGCGCAGCACATGTTGATTCTGCCKACAAGCTCTGCTAAACTGTGGGGTCCTCCCTGATGGCTGCAAAGGGGCGCTGCAGGGTGAGGACCGCCGAGSGGGTTGGGCAGGAGGAAAACTGTCTAGCTTTGCTCCCAACTTTCTCTTCCCCTTCTATAAGCTTAGAGTGGGGTAKTTGTCAGGGAGAAAAGACTTGGAAAATAATGGGAATTTTCTACTTTTAATCACATATTCTCTCCAGAATATCAGTGAGGAGTTGAGGCAGAGAGAGAAGAAGGCAAAAATTTTAGAGGGGTACATTTCCTAACACATCATCCACAAGGAATTCCATCATTAGGGTCAACTTTGTTTTGTTTTGTTTTTTGACCAAACTCTTAAAACTTGAGAAACTTTTTTGGCATGCATGACCACCCAGGGGTGCCAAACTTTCTGTTAAACTGCTTGGACACCTGGCTACTTCTAGCAAAAAAAAAAAAAAAAAAAAAAAAAAAAAGAAAAAGAAAAAGAAAGAAAGATCTCTGAATAACTTTTTATTTATGATATTTGAAGGCCAAATATCCTTCTGCAATACCAGGGTAGTATGTCACTTCACTGGTTTTGCAGGACCTTGGGGATAGGGTGTGTATGGGAGGGGTCAGAGTTGGGAGATGGCCATAGCATTGTTTCATTCAATGCCTGTGCACATATCCATTCTTTTTTCCTTTTCTTTCAGAGGAGTCAGAAGCCTTCTCTTGAACTACATATAACCCTCTTTTCCCCTCCTAAGACCTCCAGTTAAGTGTACACTTCCTGGTGTCCAGCTGGGGTCAGCTCTTCTTTTGACACTCAAGCATGCAACCCACATGCCCTGTTTTATTGTAGCTCTTTTGTTAAAACAGATAATACTCTTTGTCAGACATCATCAGTGTTCTTCAACTTTGTGATGTCAGATTTCATAGTTTGCCAATTAATGATGCTTTGCTAATCTCCAATTCCCATAAATTCCTTAAAATTCTAAGACTTCATGATTTTTGTAAAGAAAAAAATTGTTAATGTTTGAATAGTTTGTGGAATTTTTTTGGGGGGGGGTGGGTACTGGGGATTGAACTTGGGGACACTCGACCACTGAGCCACATCACCAGCCCTGTTTTGTATTTTATTTAGAGACAGGGACTCACYGAGTTGCTTAGCATCTCACTTTTATGGAGGCTGGCTTTGAACTCATGATCCTTCTGCCTCAGCCTCCAGAGCAGCTAGGATTACAGGCATGTGACACTGGGCTGGGCTGTGTTTGCATAGATCTTAATGCACTTAGTGTAAAATCCCAAAATTTCAAAGTATATGGTGAAAAGTAAGTCTCCTTCCTACTCTTGGCCTGTTTCCCTCCTTAGAGATACCCACCCTACTGTTTTCACTATCTAAGCTCATTGTCCTTCTGTTCATTTGGTAGTCTCACAGATTTCAAAAAGCTTTTTTGAGCATCTGCACAGGAGATTTTTGTAAAAATCCACTAATCTAAAATTTAKTATTTTAGTTATTTGTTAGTTTCTGCCCTTTCTGTTTTCCTTCTGACTACTTTGAAATGCCAGGGATCCAGGCTACTTTGTAACAAATATATTAGTTTCTGAGTTCCTTGAAATCAGAGACTATGGTCAGAGCATCTTTAATCAGATTAGATCAGAGACTAGAGCAACTTTGACGCTCCCCAAACAACCTGCCACAGTTGCTGGTGTGTACCAGGTCCATGCTCATAATTTTTATACRCAGGTTTCAGAATAACTGATATTGATGGTAACCTGGTGCTTCAGAGCATATTCCTCTAACGAGGCAGTGCTAATAACCATATTTCCCTTCCCCAAAAAACTAGAGTCTAGGTTGGTGGCTTGCTGGCTATAGAACACACATTCCCAAGTCCTCCTTCTTTTTAGATTAACTGCTATAGTTTGTGAAGGAACTGGTAACCAAGGAGGTAGAACTTGTAATGGTAAGTGAGGGAGCATTAGAGTTTGAATCCTGCCCTTGACACTGCATTTGTGAATAGGCTAGTATTTAAATCCTTTGAGATTGATGTCCCTCATCTGTGAAGTGGTGGATCATAGGGTTCTTTTGCACATTAGGAAAGATGAAGTGGAGGCTTAGCACAGTGCTTGGCACATGTAAGACATACATAGTAAGTAAGAACCCTTGTTGTCAGTCCTTTCTTACCTTTGAAAGATAGGTAAATGCATTTGTTAGCTCAGGCTACTTTATGGTGCAGTAACAAATAACCCCAAAAATTTCAGAGAAGAAGGGTTGATTTTTTTTGCTTATGTTATGTTCTTTATGTATCTGTCTCTAGCCCTTCCCTCCAGGACCCAGGTTGATCATTAACTTTTGGAAACTTCTGATGTAACAAAGGAAAGAGAGAAGATGCAAGTATACAGTAACTTTTAAAGCTTCTGCTTGGAGCCTGGCCTGGTGGTGCACACCTGTAATTCCAGGGACTCAGGAGGCTGAGGCAAGAGGATTGAACATTCGAGGCTAGCCTCAGCAATTTGGTGAGACCCTAAGCAACTTAGCAAGATCCTGTCTCAATAAAAAATTAAAAAGGCTGGGAGTGTACATCAGAGGTTAAGCGCTTCTGGGTTCAATCCCTGGTACTCCCCTCCCCCAAATTCTTCTTAAACTTTAAATTTCCATTCATGTTGACATGATTCTTAAGGGGTGAATCACCATTCTGAAGGAGTAGACCAGTCATCTTTCTAATGGATCAGAACTGGGAGGGGTAGGCCTGGGAGGAAGAGGTAGCAAATACTTGACAGTTTGTGTTGGAAGGAGTCACTACTGTGTGCTCATAGGTTCATCAAACCCTATACGAATTGATTCACACTGACCTGCATATTAGACCTTGATTTACAAACCAGAATGCCTATTTTTTCCCTTGGATAATATATCTTCCCTGGGTACAAGGTGTAAAAGCCTATATGGAGCAAACTTTTCTTGGTGGTGAATTTGCTCAAAAGACAGAATTATAAGCTAAGAGCTTATATAGAAATCCAAAACCAAAAATTGGCTGTCCACAAAAAGTCTGTTTATATCCAGAATACAGAATGTTTAAATCCASTTCTTTTTTTGGAACTGTCCAAAGCCCAGGAATGAATAATGGCAGCTTATCCCAGACAGAGCTGGAGGTCACGGACAGATTCTTGCTCTTCTTTATTTACTGAATGTTAAGAGCAAATTCTTTGTTTTAAATTTTTTTCTTTAATTTTGATTTTTTAATATTGCAAGTGTAATACATGTTTATTGTGGAAAATTTTAAAACAAATAGGAAAACCTAGGAGGAAAGTGAAAATTACCCAGATATCACAATAGCACATTTTTTCTTGTTAATTGCTAATTGCATCATCCTACGACTTATTATAATTATTCTCTCTTATGCTGTCTACTTCTTGAATAATGAGACTTTATTATCCTAATTAAAGCATCTTCAAATCACAGTGTAGGATGGATCAACCAGTTCTATTCATTGTGTGTTAATTCTTGCTGGCTTTGGTTTCATGGTTATTTTTGTCACTCTTGGCCCAAGATTTTGAGGGTTTCTCTCACTTTTTCTACTTGAAACTGGACATTTCTTTTCTCTTTGGGTAGTCCAATATGATGTTACAATGTCCAAGAACTATATGATGAATGAAACTGTAAAGATAAAGATGCATTTCCAAGTAAAAAATAGTAATCTTGCTCAGCTCTGCCACTTGTTGAATAATGAAGTGAATTAATTTTGATTTTAGCAGCATAACATTGCAAAACAGAAGAAAAGATTCTATTTTAAAAGTAAATAGYAGGGGCTGGGGTTGTGGCTTAGTGATAGAGTGCTCACCTAGCATGCACGAGGCACTGGATTCGATCCTCAGTGCCACATAAATGTAAAATAAAGATATTGTGTCCACCTAAAACTTAAGGATAAATATTTAAAAAGTAAATAGCAACAAACGGAAAGGGAATAAAGTATTCTGTTTTTTTTTCTTTTTCAGACCAGTATAGTTTTGATACCAACATTTAATGTAGATGGCAAACAAAAAAATAATGAAATCTAAACTAAAAATCAACCTCACTTAAGATTATTGGTGTCAAAACCCCAAACTAGTATAAGCAAAGGTCCAGCAATACAAGCAAGAAGCACACAAGGAAAGCAGGGGATGCTTAGCATCTCTCTAYACCTCATCACAACACAGATGAAAGGAACTCTATGGAGCTATTAAGGAGTGAGCTATATTGAGATGGGTAGAGGTGGAAAAAAAATCACCCATGTACACTCTTAAGGAAACAATGAAAATTCCAGAACTAAATCTACTATGTTTATATTTGTGAAAGACCTTAGAGAGAAACATGCACATGTGGCACATGTGTGTGCATGCTCATGCTGGTGTGAGTGTGTGTGTGTGTGTGTGTGTGTGTGTGTGTGTGTGTGCGCGCGCGCGCTTATGCTAGCAAGAACCAACTTTTTAAAGGTTGGTTAAAAGTAATCTTGATAGACTCTAGGAGAGAAAGACAAAGGGTTAGGGTGTGGAAAGCGACTTCTAAATTCTTGTTTTATTGTTTGAATTTTCAAATCATATGCATGTAATTTTAAAACTAAACTAGTTTTGAAATGGCAGTTTCATGTTAAAATAATGTAAAAAAATTTTATCAGTTAATTCTCTTCTCTAGTTGTACTACTTTAAATACTCTGATTATCAAAAGTGAACATAGGGAAGTGTAGTTGGAGGGCACCCGAGGGCTCGGGGCTATAAGGATGTGGTTAACAGCAGTTGGTTTGTTGCTTGTGGTTAATGACCAAAAAGCATCCAGTTGCACAGAAATAAACAACTCCAGTACCAGTGCAGACCATGATATTTAGAACTACCTTGTGGAGATTTATTTTAAGTGTGTAATGTCTAAATTTAAAATTAAAGAATATGATAACCATTGAAAGCATTTACTATTTTCAATCATTTAACTGTTGGAACTCTAAGTGAGGCTATAAGGAACAATATTTCAATTATTTGTTTATAACAAATTTCTTATTTAATCAGATTTCACAATTTCTAATGATATCATAATACAGTTAATAAAGTGTAGGTTTAATGAGTACATCCTCTCAGGGTATTCAAACCAGAGATTTTTTTATTTCCCAATTTTCTTTTTAAAGTACAACTGTCATATTTTATCTGGGCTAAAGTTATTCTATTTCAATGAGAATGGATCTGAAATTTCCATGTCACTATGTTGTCAATAATCATTACTTGCTAATGTCCAGATTATATGTATGGTCTTAGGGTCAAACTAGAAATGAAAAATAGAGATAGCAAAAGGTAAGACACCAGTTCYGATAGGGCTTGGTGTAAGATTACACACATGCATTAGCTAATTGAGAGGGTCCTGTGTATTATCATCTATCAAAAAGTTTTCATCAGAATACTAGAATCAAAGTTCTCAGCGATATGAACTAACTCTGGTGGTTTAACTGTTGCAGGCTGATCTTCTGGTGTACATCATGTCTACTTTTGAAGATGCCGACACAGAAGAGACAGTAACTTGTCTCCACATGACTGTTTATCATCCTGGCCAGTTGCAAAGTGGAATATTTCAATCCAGAACATTTTATGATAGACAGAAATTCCCTTCYACCGAAGTGATAAAATTTGGACGGAATTCCAACATCTGTCATTATGTTTTTCAGGACAAACAGGCTTCACGAATCCAGTTTTCTCTGCAGCCATTTAAACAGTTTAACAGCTCAGTTCTCTCTTTTGAAATTAAAAATATGAGCAGGAAGACCAGTCTGATTGTGGACAGCCAGGWGCTAGGCTACCTAAATAAAATGGACTTGCCCTACCGGTGCATGGTCAGATTCGGTGAGTATCAGTTCCTGTTGGAGAAGGAAGATGGAGAGTCACTGGAATGGTTTGAGACACAATTTCTTTTTTCTCCAAGACCGCTCTTGCAGGAAAACTGGCCAGCACAGATACCCATACCTGAGAATGGCAGCTGTTCATCCTGTTCTACCCAAAGCCCTCTTCCTACAGAAATGGATGAAAATGAATTGTGAACCGAGGGTCTAAGAGGAGAAACATGAAGGATGAAGGACAGATTGGAGACATTCTGCTTATTAAAAGTTTATTAGTTTAGTACATCATAGTCATCTGTTAGGCTGCCAAGTTTGGGATTTGTTATTACCATCGTGTTGTTACTCATCGTCTTAGTCACCTGTTGCACTTCTGGATCTATGAAGAATTAAGTGTACATTAGTGAGGGTTAGTGTGTAAAAATATCCTTGTGATGAAATTGTGTTCTCAAAATAAGGTCATATATTTTCTTTTTCTTCTTGATATCGGTTGGGATTTGCTTTTGTAAGGAATTATATCTTGGTTTGGTCACATCATTTCACAGCTGCCATTAATTTTCAAGGTCAAAGCTCCAGGCAGGTTATTAACTGGTGTCTATAGCCTGTTAGTACTTGTAGAACCAGAGTACTGGAATGAGTTCTAGAGTTCTGTCTGCAAGTCATTGTGGCTTAAATATAAGGAGAAACAATACCTTGATTTTTTTTTATGGAGTTATAGTCTGTTCCTAAGACAACAGTTCTCCTTAATCTCCTTGTCTATATTCATTATCTAAAACTAATATTTAAACACTTTTAAAAACCAGTGTTTAAAATTGCTTTCTTACCAAATTTGAAGTTTGATTTTTATGTACTTTACATAACTTTTCAATTTCAATTTTTTTTTTTTTTTTTTGGTACCAGGGATTGAACCCAGGGGCAGTTTATCACTGAGCCATATCCCTATCCCTTTTTAATCATTTATTTTGAGACAGGGTCTCACCAAGGTGTTTAGGGCCTCCCTAAATTGCTGATGCTAGTTTTGAACTCATGATCCTCCTGCCTCAACCTCCTGAGTCACAGGGATTACAAGTGTGCCACAGCCCAATTTAAATTTCAATTTTTAACAGCATTCATGAACATAATAAAATCAAAGTTTAATTCCTTAACCAATTCTTTGAAACTTTTGAAAAAAGGGAAATAATTATTCTTAGGATGTTCTATATAAATAAATATATGTAAATATTTATAATAAATGCTTAAACATTTCTAAAAATTTAGCTTCAAATAAAGTTGTATTTATTTAAAACATTCACATTTCACTTCTTTTAGCTAAGTTAAAGTGAATGTTACATAAATAAGAACCATTTGATTAATTAGATTCTAGCATTAAGAAGTGATATTTCGGGGCTGGGATTGTGGCTCAGTGGTAAAGCACATGCCTTGCAATTGTGAGGCACTGGGTTGGATTCTCAGCACCACATATAAATAAATAAAATAAAGGTCCATTGACGACTAAAAAAAAAAAAAAAGAAGAAGAAGAAGTGAAATTTCCAGGTTAATGAAATGTCCTGCTGTCACAGGTCCAATTTTGAAAAAAATTAACGTATTCCTGTAACAGCCTTTCTAAAATATTTTTAATAATATTTTAAACTTTCTGGCCTCCTTCCAATGATTGTTAGCCCAAGTACACCTTCTGTTGTTTCAGACCATCAGTTTCTCCTGGCTATAAAAGATGATGTCCAACACTTCGGCCCTGGAACTATTGCTGTAGAGAGAACTATTTGTCCCTACTTAAAGTGGCCCAAATAACTTTTCAGTTTCTTTGTCCTGTTTTTTTTTTTTTTTCTTACTTCCTGTGGTAGACAGAGTAATGGCTTGGCCCAAGATGTGCAGATGTCCATGTGCTAACCTCTGAAACTGTGAATGTGTTGTTATGTAGCAAATGGGAATTAAGGCTGCAGATGGAATTAGGTTTGCTCATCAGTTCACCTTAAAATAGAGAGATTGTTTTAGCTTATTCTGGACCTAATAATTACAGGGTCCTTACAAATAGGAGAGGCAGAGCAAGATGTCAGAGTGATGAAATGTGAGGACTTGATCTGCTGGTGCAGGATTTGAAGATGGAGGAAGGAGGCTGTGAGCCAACGAATGCAGGTAGTCTCTAGAAGCTAGAAATCATGCACTTGATATCTAGAAGTTGAAAAAGGCAGAGAAACCTCTAGAATGCAATGAAATCCTGTGGATACCTTGATTTTAGTCCAGTGAGATTTGTGTTTGACTTCTTACAGAACTTGAAGATGATAAATTTGTTGTGAACCATTAAATTGCAATAATTCATTATAGCAGCAAATACTCTGACCTGAAGTTATTTATCTACTATCTCTTCTAGTCACTAAGTTGCCTTTACTATATTATATTTAAAATTTTTTTTTTTCAGAACACTGGGCCACTAAGCCACATCCCCAGCCCTATTTTGTATTTTATTTAGAGACAGGGTCTCACTGAGTTGCTTAGCGCCTTGCTCTTGCTGAGGTTGGCTTTGAACTCATAATCCTCCTGCCTCAGCCTTCCGAGCTGCTGGGATTACAGGCATGCACCACGGCGCCGGGCTTACTATATTATCTTTTTCTGGGATTGTAACTTCCTTTCTGAGATGGATTTACAAAGTAGGTCACCCAGGCTGTTAGAATTATTCATAGTGAAAATGATCTTATGGTACAAGCTGTCTCTAAGCAAAGTGTATACACTCTAATGTGTAGGTTATGTAACATTCAGCCATTTTGAAAGAACTTTCCACTTGTTTCTTGTCTTTGAGGCTGATGGCTAAATGCTAAATTACAAAGTTTTAATATTAAGAAATTTCGGTATCATTGTTACTGAACCCAAAAATGTGTTAGGAGATACATCCAGAAAAACCTCATGTTCATATAAACTAGTTAATGATTTTTCCTAATGTTTAACCTGCAAAAGATTTGTTTGATTTGAGAAATACAAGCTTCAATTAAAAAAGTTTTTTTTTCTTAATAGATTGACAAAAAAGAGGGTTACTAAATAGTAATACTACTATTCTCCAAATAATAGAAACTTTCCATAGACCAATTCTTTTAGTAGTAATGGAGTAATAGGTTAGTATTAAAATTGTTTTGATTACAAAGCATAAAATCTCTGCCAGAGCTACCTGAGCACAAATAGGGGTTGTTAGAGGCAAGCTGAAGTACCTCATGGAACACATGGAAGGAAACCAGCAAACCTTAGTCAGGATTCAAATGCCTGCAGCTCTGCCCCACAACGAATATCAGCTCCATTCTCCTAATACATGGTGGCACAAGACCACGCATAACTCTAAGATTTACATGTTATTGATCACTCAAAAAGAAACTGATCTCCTTATTCCAGTTCCAGGGAAAAGTCAGCTTGTCACCCCTCACAACCAACTCTCCTTAGGTAACATGGTCACATATAATAGCTGCTCTGGTCAGTGACCATTGGGTAGAAAAAGCATTTTCTAAACAAAACAAAACAAAAAACAAAAAGTGCCACAGTGGACTAGGTGGGGTCAAACAAAATATTGATATTCTRCAGCTGAACTGTGAAAATTTCAACATATACCTGAAAGACTCCTTTGTCCCTAGGAATTGAATTTTCTTGTGCCAAGTTGAGAGGTATGTTAACTTGTGCCAGTGTTATAGTAACTTTTCCTGAGTCTGTAGTTTCACGACATGGTTGTGCCTTCCACTGGTGAAATCTCATGCCATATGATTCTATAACCATTTTCTAGAAAATTCTGTGTATACTATATGATGTCTGGATTGACTTGTAGAAGCCTAACTTTTAGGCTTATATGAACGATGGTATTCATTTCTATGAAGGTAAGATGGGATATGCAGTCACTTAAGCTGTACTTTAAATTATTTGTATCTGTAGAAAAATTAGCCATACTCCTACTACCAGGAGATAACTGTTAACATTTTTTTTTGTGTGTAAGTGGTAGCTGCTTTCATGTTACTTCAGGGCCCTTTTTGTCAGTCAACACTTATTTAATTAATTCCTTTTATTAGGTGTTTTGTGTTAAAATAACTGTGGTTACTATTTTATTGTGTGGACCATGATTGAAACCATCAGAGAGCTTAAATTTCAGGTGGTGACCAAGGATGAGAGCTATGTAAAATGTGATTGAAATTTATTTGGCTTCTAATTGCTTTGAATTGTYCTCAAACCAATCACTCATTATTCAACTATTCATTCCACATGAAAATATTTACTTGACTTCTACCTCTTAAGTGAGGAATTTAGGGTCAGGAGCTCTAGTGAAGAAAATTTAAGAACAGTGATTTCAGCTGTTTATGGTCTCACTACTTTGTTACTGATGGAAGGCCACAAGGGAGTAGAGATGAACCAGTCTGGTACTGTTGACTGTCATTGTTGCTCAAGAGCCAAAAAGAAAACTTCTGTCATGATAAGGTGCAACAATGGAACTTCACCTTGGGTCAAAGTGTCTTTTTATGACAGTATCACTTTGGGTATCTTTAAACAATTTTTCAACACTCAGCTAAGCAAACAAAACCCAAACTTCCCAGACCCCTCAAAAAATAATATTGACCTAACTTCTACAGGATGAAGTTATAGTCTTGAGAGTGAGCTCTCAATCACACTGCCTCAGTTCATCTATTTCTCGTGTAACCTGACACTAGCTCAGGATCCTTTTCTGAAAAATAAGGATTAAAATAGTGCTTCCCTAGTAGTGTCTCTGTTTAGATCAGTTGTGTACACTTTTATGGTCCCTTATCAGTGTTCCACATAGCATGTTATTGTGAATAGCACTGGGCATAGTTAGCTCCTTATATTTACAGTCACATATAAAAGATTTCTGAACTACAGAGGATGTTAGTGTATATTCACTCATTTAAATAATTTGTAATAACAAAAATATTCATATTAATATTTTTCTACTTTAATTTTATTTTTACCTTTAATATTACCTAAGGATATAAGAATTAGATTCAGGAAATCCATTTCTTATATAATTCTTGTGTGATCTCACCAATCAGATAACTAACTAGAGGCACCAAGAAAATGAATATAGGATAACATTATTAATATATTTGATATCAAGTGTGTTTTTTTAAGATGGCTATGTTAAAAACTTATGACTAGGACATCTTTATATAGAGCAAAATGATAATTTGGGCCTCTACTAAAATAATATATCCAATTATTGGGCTAGGGTTGTAGCTTAGGTAGGGGTAGAACACTTACCTAGCACATGTAGTGCACTAGGTTCAATCCTCAGCACGACATAAAAATAAAGTTATCATGAACATATACAACTAAAAACAAAATTTAAAAAATAATATATCAAATTATTGAAAAAGAGCAGGAATAATTCCAAATTATATCATTTTAGAAGTACCTAAAGTATTCCTGGTATCTTAAATAAAAACCTTAGATTACATACGCTCCAACTACCCCATTTCTCTGCTGAGAGCAAAACTTTTTGAAAAATATCTACACCAGCTGTTCTTCATTCTTTATCCCCTACCTCCTCCGTTTCCATCCCCTCACTTATATAACAGATATGCATCAGTCTTCATGTTCCCAAACCCAACCCTAACTCACCCATCCTCTTCTCGGTGCATTTGATGTTGGTCACCCCATCTCCTGGCATGACACCACACCTGTATTCCTCCTGAATCTTCTTTAGGCTGTTTCTCCTTCCT